GTCCGCGCAGCTCGGAGGGATCCTGTCCCGGCGCAGCGGGCTCTGCAATGAGGGGAGGGGAGGGGAGAGGGGTGGGGGGGAAGGTGTCGCCCGCGCTGGCGATGGCGGAGGAGCCCGGGCCTCCGCCGCGGGCCCAGGGCGGGAGCCCCGCAAGGGAGGCCGAGGGCTGCGGGCAGGCGCGGGGGCAGCGCCGAGGACGTTTCTCCCGCGCCCCTGGGAGCCGCAGGACGGAGAGGACGCGGCTCCCCGTGTCCTGCCCTCCCGCCACGTCGGGAGCCGCGGCCGGAGCACCTCCTCCGGCACGTGAAATTGATGGGCTGAGACTCGCCGCTCGCCCGGAGCCGCCATCTGGAATTGCAGTCTGAGGCTCCAATTAGAGCTCCTGACCCCGCATTCAACTTTGGGAAGAACCGACAGGAAGAAAAAAAAACACGTTACTTCTCCTGCACCTGTAGGAAACGCAGTGCTGGAGCCTCTCGCGTTTGAAAAATGATTTCTAGCCTGAAAAAGACCATCCCAATCCTTCCCCCTGCAGATCTCCCCGCCCCCCCCCAACTTTCCTGCTTCATTGGCCCTATCAAGGGAAGATTTAACTAACAAATCGGGTCGCCAAGAGTTTTCCCTTTGCCGAGCCATCCGCTTCAGCCTCCAGCTCTTCGCCTGAATTGTTGGGAGGAAAACAACCCTGGTGTTTAACGGGGTCATAAATAACTGGGCGACTATCACTGCTTTAGTAACTCTTCTCGTGCTACTTAGTCTCACCTTGCACCCCTCCTGGACGGAAAGAGACAAAAAAGAAGTACTAGGTAGTACAGGGGTTCTGTTAAATTTATTAGCATACCGCTAAGACAAAACTGAACATAAATCATCGAGCTGTATAAGGCCATAAAACATCCCCATGCAGCTAGTCCTAGCCAAGATTCTGGTGAATAAAAGTTCATATAAAACGGACTATCAGTAACATCTTTCAGATCTGGTCCATGTGACATTTTAAAAGTCTCAGATATATGGTGGGATATTCTTTAAAAGAGTAGCTAAAACTATTATATGCACAATTTTTATCGGTACTCATGTATAAAAGAAAACAAGAAAAAAAGAAACCTATTGCTGTTTCATTTTACCTTTTCTTGGAAAGAGTTGAAATGAGCTGTTGCAAGGGAAGGGACACTAAAAATATTTAGTGGATCACAAATTAATCCTTTTAAAATCTATGACTCAAGAGTTAAGGAAGGGATCTGATCTTTAGATCTGTTGCATGCAGCTAAAAAAACAGATCCCACTTTAAATACATAAATGTAGGTGAGAAGGTAGTGGCACATACCTGTCCCATAGACAACTGATGAGAACACCAAGCTTCCTGTGAATCTGCATATACATCTGGACTTCCGTGGAAGGAGTTACACATTCAAAAGAATCAGGGGAAAAAATCTAGCTAAAATAAATGCATGATGACAAACCACAAAAAAAATTAAAGTATTTACAGCAACTTTGATGAGTAAAGGAGGGCTGTTTATGAAGACACTAACACAGCAGATAACCCAAGGTCTCACTAACCTTAGCATAATTACAGGACAGTCTTTCCATAAGGATGAATTGTTCTATAACAAATTTGTCCACTGGATTTAGCACAAACATATTTTCCTAAACACTGGTCATGCTTGGTTTCATGTTCCATTTCTATTCCTAAACAAACACATCATTTTAACAATGAGAGGCAAGTCCTATTCTCAGGTTATTTTTAAGCACCCCTTTGTGCAGAAACCTTGGGCAAAGATACGTCAGCCCAGGCTTTCAGCTGATGCAAATCAGTATAACTTCTCTGGACCTGCACCAGGTACTCCAGCTGAAGGTCTGGGCTTGAATAGCTCTACTGCTGCTAAAGAGTTTACTCATGTGCTTGAAGTCAAGTTTATGCTTATTTGACTGGGTCCTTAGTTCTAGGTCTCACCCAAGGATGCTCAATGATACCAGAACCAGAGAATGTGCAGACAACAGCAGTGTGCAAGATGGTTGAAGTGGGTGCTTTCAAAGATAGTTGCAGCAGACTCCCTACAGTATGTGGAAAGGAAGCATATGTACTAAAACCAATACATTCTTTTTTTATATATGGATTTCAAAAAATAAAACTGCAGTAAAAACCAAACCAAACCAACCCTCCCCCCAAAAACATGCAGCCCTGTTCAAAAAACTTCTCCCAGCCTTCATTTTGTGTCACCTTCCCCACAAACGTCCTTCTCTCATTATATTGCATTTGCTGCTGCCTTCAACTCCAAACATAATACATTCAACCCCTCCTGCATATATATGCTGTTGTGCAGAACACCTAACACTTTTGCTGAGGGGATAGAGCATCAGCTGTGATTCCCCTTCCTCACATCTCTCCAAAAGCCTTTACTGCCAGCACTTAAAACAAGTTTTAACCTTCGCTTGTTCAAAGACACATAAGCGTTTGTAGGTGACAGCCTACTTCATCAGATGCTATGAAAGCCTATGCCTCTCTGAACCTGTTATTCTGTAAGTTGCTACGCTGCCTTCCACCTGACTTCAGACTAATACAGCTAACCACCTCCTATTGCTTGTTCTTGTACAGAGCTGTAGAAGTCTTTCAGGTATTTAGCTGGTCCTTAACACTATGTGGGATTGTGATGCCTAACTTCTCTCTCTCTCTCTCTTTTAATATTTACAGCTAAACTGTATTCAGTAGCACCAACTGCTGAACCCCAGGAATCCTTTTTCATGCAGACAAGTTCCAAGGCTGAGACCTTTGAGGAGATTTAGGACCAAAGGGGAAAAGCTAAGGGAAAATAAATCACTGCTAGATGCTGCTTTTAGGGTCAAATTGATCCCCTGTATATAAGAACATAAGAACTGCCATTTACTGGGTCAGACTATAGCGCCATCTTGCCCAGTATCCTGTGTTACACAGTGTCAGAGAATGGGTGCTGAACTACAGATGACCAGGATTTTGTCCACTGTTCCTCTCTCACTTGCAGCCTCCAGCATTTAAGGTCTAGCATTTAAGGTATAGGTTTAATAGAGCTACAGAAGGGACTTTAAGATAAGTATGCTTATATTCTGCTATGCATTTACAA